ACTATATGTATAAGCCAATAAATCTTATATCACAATGTCATTTAAAGTACTCTTAAACTGTTAATACCCCAAGCTCGGGGGGAAACATGGGCAAATTATTGGTGAAAGAAAATAACTTCAATCCAGACCTCAAAGAATACAGCAGCTTTCAAAAAACTCTACTCAAATTAAAAAAAAAAAAAAGTCACAAAACATACAAAGATACAGATACAATGAATGAGTCAACACAAACAAAAGAACAAAAGACAGCAGGATTAGACTACAGATTTCAACTATTGAACAGATTATACAATAAAGATATTCCAAATACCACAAAGGCTTAATATATATATATACTAGTTAAATAAATGCTCAAAAAATCAGAAACATAGTTTTAATTCAGGGTAAAAGTTAAATAGCAGACTTAATATAAGTAGAGAAAGAATTAGACATTTAAAAGCTACCTAAAATTCAGTTCAGAGAGATAAAAAAATATATGTAAAAGCAGCTAAAAATACAAAGAATAGAGTAAGGTCTAACAAAATAATACTGAAACCATCTGTGAAGAGCCATTTTTCAAATTGTCAATCCATGGCAGACAAAAACTGTAAAATTCAATAAAAGTGAATTTAAAAAAAAAACCTGTGCTTGGATGTCACAGGAATATCAACGTGTTATTAAAAGTTTCTAAAACTGTACACTTCAAATTTCTGTCCATAATTCATAGACCAATGAAATCAGTATGTAGACCAACACTGACCTGAAGATCACACTTTAAGTAGCAATGCTCTAAAACACAAGTAGATCAAGATTAGAAAAGAATTTAAAAGAGAAAACAGGGTATAGGTAACACTCAAATAAATAATGGTTGAAAATCTCCCAGCTTAATTGAAGACACAGTTGGACAATCTAAGATGTAAGAAAAAACAGATAATAAAGATACAGCAAAACACATGGCTATTAACTCATTCTCAGCGCAGAGACTTCAACCACCACAATTCCCCCAACACAAATCCTAACTAGCATTTTCTACCATTATTTTTAAAAACAAACAACTTGGGCTAGATGTATGCTAAATAAACAAAACCAAAACAAAACAAACCAAAACTCAGTAAAGAAGGTTGCTAGAGAACAAGTTTTAAGAGCTAATGATTTCCTCTCCCAGTGGAAACATTCTGTCCCTACTTCCACTAAACACCAAACTCTGTCTATACGGACACTGACACAAAATTGTGCTTATTGGAGTTATTTTTTTATAATGTATAAAGTTTATGAAACAAGAAGAAATACATTTTTAGATTAGCACAGGCTAAAAATACCTTCAATTATACTGAAAATGGGAACAAACCAGAGAGGAAGACAAACCATGAGAGACTATGGACTCCAGGAAACAAACTGAGGGCTCCAGAAGGGAGGAGGGTGAGGGGTAGGCGGGTGATGGGTATTAAGGGAGGGCACAAGTTGTGATGAGAACTGGGTGTTATACACAACTACTGAATCGTTGAACACTGTATCAAAAACTTACTATGTACTATATGCTGGCTAACTGAACATAATAAAAAAAAATTATACTGAAATGAACAGGATTCCAATTTCCATTCACTGTCCTTTTCAATGTGAGGTGAGCTACATAATACTGCACCATATTTTACCTATCAAATCCTCTCAGCAGAACAGATTCTTTTATTTCTAAATGCCGTTCATTTAAAAGACCCAGCTCAGACACCTAGCAGAAATCAAATATAAATTCAAACCTACCTTAAAAACAGAAATTAAGGCATCACATCACCTGATGAAGAATCATAACTAATACCTCTGTAAATGTTTGATCATTTTTCAAATATATGACACATATCTAAATGAAGCATCACAATAACCTGATGGGACCTCGGTTTTATATAACAGATATACTAATGGCTAAAAGCTTAAAGAGTGAAAGAACATGTTGAACAGCATTAAAAATATACAAGAAAAGATATGTAAATTAAATGTAACAATATAAACAGAAAAAGATATCCAAAATCTAATCAACAGCTGCTTCTTAGCATCATTCCCCATCACATGCAACTAAAAGGACAATCACTAGGCATACATAACAAATAAACTAAATGAAATGATGTATTAACCTATTTGATTCAGTGCACTAAATTCAAACAATTCAGCAAGATTTTTAAAAATTTAATTGCTTATTGAACCTTAATAAGATTCATATGGTATTACATCTCAGGATATAGAAAAATAATTTAAATAGAAAGTAAAACTGGGCTAAGCAGTTAAAACATCCATCTAGTAAGTGAGTGAAGGATGAGAAAGGCAGAAAGCCTTTTGAAAAGCTCAGGGGCTAGGTCCTTAAAGAAGAGAAAGTTTTCTCCAAATTATTCCATAGATGTATTGATTCAAAGTTAATGCCTAAGCATATAAAAGACACAAAACACCTTAACTTTGTGGTTTAGAATAAAGATGGATTTAAGCTGGAAATTCACGCTGAAGTTTTTTGGTTTGGGTTTTTTTTTTTTTTTTAATGCATTGTTTCAACCAGACTCAGGGGTCAGACTCTGAGAATATTTGGCCTTATAATTAAAAATTTTTTTAAGATTTATTTGAGGGAAAGCACGACACTGGCAATCCCACGAGTGGAAGGAGGGGCAGAGGGAGAGAATCTTCAAGCTAATTCCACCCTCAGGGTGCAGTCTGTCAGGGCTCAATTTCACAGCCCATGAGATCACGACCTTAGCCTAAACAAAAAGTCAGATGCTTAACTGACTGAGACACCCAGGCACACCCTTATAATTTAAAATTTTGATAAACCACACCAAGTTTAACTAATCACCAATCATTCCAATACAAAGAAAAATGAAATATCCCTTGGTGCCTTTTTGAGTTTTTATTCAAATTTATAATCAAATCTGTGCGTATTCTCAGCTGCTTCAAGTCTTCTCTGTGGAAAGAAAAAAGCAGGCTTTAAAAAATTAGATATACATACACACATACAAATACACACACACCCATATGCAGAAAATGTTCCCATAATTATAAGCTTTTCACTGGTACTTCCTGATCCTTACTTAAAACATGGAAGTGAATAGGTAAATAAGTTTTTAAGATAATACTAAAAATAACAGTCTTTTAAAATATTTAAGTAAAAGCAAATCAAAGATCTTCTACAGCAGCCATAAAAAGCCACAAAGCCAAAATTCATCATCATAAACATTTGTAAATGGCTTAAAATTGGGGGAAGATAAAGGTTAGTACTTTGCACCCCTTGAGCTTACTACAGGGATACTCAATAACTAAAATTACAGATAGCTACATCCTAAGTCAGAGAATCAAAAGTTTTCCCACAAAAACACCCCTAATAAGTGCCCAAACGGGCAATAAACTCATACATATGGGATATTGGGAATAGAACCCAAAATAGCTAATGGCAATCATTAATTTTCTTCAGCAGTGGGTATTATTTTAAAATAACTGTGCTAATTCTCTCCCATTCCATATTATCTCCCTAAAATTCATCTCGAAAAGAATGCACAATGTTTGTACTACTTCCTCACACAGCCAACACTAAAAAGGGCACAGTTAAAGGTCTCACCTTTTTGCTCAAACCAGAACCTCATGCCTTTATTGGAGGAGTACAGATATTTACACATGAAGGAAAGTTAATTCTAATAAATTCCTAGGTTTAATCAGCTATTCTTTTCATAAACACTAAATCCACCAAAGAATTAACTCTACCTTTACATATACAGCATTAATAAGCTGTTCTGTTACAAGTTTTTAACCAACTCATTTCTTGAATAAAATCTTTAAAATTACATATTGTATTACAGAAAAATAATTAGTAACCATGTTATAGATGACTCCTTTTCAGCAATTAAGGAATAACTCTAGTATTAAATTGCAAATATTAGCAAGAAAATCAAATGGGAGATAGTTCATGCCTTGTTCTCACCTAATTATGAAAATTATCTAAAAAGGTTATAGGACCTATTTCAAATTCTATATAGTTAGGAGTCATAACTATTCATAATTATACATTTGAGCATAAATTATCTTAAATTAAATATTCTGAATTTAAATTATCTTTATGAATTTTATAATTAAGCCATTCTTCTCATTTGTATTAAATCCTTTAACAAAAAAATTATAGCTAATCTAAAATTTTAAGAACTGTATCTTTTAAAATAAAGTCATTAATTTTCAGTCACCTTTTGATGGATTGCCATTTACATGTAAGGAAATATGGGTTATTATTTTTGCATTTAAGTTCTAAGAAAAGTAAATAAAAATCATTAACTAAAGGTTATTTTAAGTTTTTAAATTTAAATTAGTGAGTTTTCTAAACTTTGGGATAATTTTTGGTAAATGCTTTTTGTTTAAAAATTATAAACTTCCATATAATTATAAATGCAATTTTAATCTAAGTTATTTAATTTGACATAATTTAAATTCAAAGGTATCATGAATAGTTATTATAACTTTTAATTACATTGTATTTGAGACACGATATCACTTTAAGGAAAAAATTATAGGTCATGCACTAACTCCACTTCATTTACTATGAATATACTTTATCACATATAAAAATTGATCTTTATGTTCCAAAATATATATATTGGACATTATATCCATCTTCTCTCTTTAATAACATTTATAAAAATTTTCACAGTTATTCAGAAAATGTGAGTTCAGATTTTAAAGTACATTTTTTGGGTAAAGTTCCTAGAATCACTTAGATACATTTAATTTACTGAATATTTACTGAAAAGATTAAACCATTATAATCAAATAGTTTTACAATAAAAAGAAATCAATGCAACAAAATGTCCAAATAGAAGAAATAGTTCATGTTTCTCCCGAAAGCCCAGTTATTTCTATATATTCTAATACACAAAAATAAACAGTTGTTGGGAGTTCTTTTTGATGGCTTTTACTTCTGTGAAGTAAGCACAAACTTACTGGTTAATGGCTGTTAATATAGCTTCTCCACAACTATAAACATAAATAAAATAAACAATGAATACCTTAAAATAGTTATACTTCTCTCCATAAGAAACCAAGTTAACTTCTTGAGCAGAAAGAACTGAAAAAAGAAAAAGCATGCTATACTAAGTGCCATGAAACCCAAACGTAGATAAAGGTGTAAATGGAATTCATTAGGTAAGTTTTTTTTTTTTGGAGAAATTTTGGAACTATAAAAAAAAAAAAATAATAATAATATTACAAATATCTACATTTCCCAACCAGAATTTATAACAAATGACACTCACATTGTGAATTCAAAGTCCATAAATATGAACCTTTGTTTCACTTTATGCATATTTACAAAAGAATTAAGTGGAGATAAAGTTAAAGTCCACTATTCATCATTCCTAGTGCCATTTCCTTCTTTTCACCTCATTATTAGCAACCACTGTCATGAAACTGGCATGTACTTTTACATTTTCTACAATTTTTATTTACATATTGCAGAAAGAGTCATGTTTTGTGTATTTTTTCAATTTTCATAAATGGTATAAAAAAACTTGCTTTTTCATTCAACATTATCTTTGTGATCTACTAATATAGATATACTTCATTCCTTTTTTTAAATAGATTGTACTTATTTGGGAGAGAGAGAAAACAAGTTGGGGGGAGGGGCAGTGGGAGAGAAAGAAGCAAACTCCCTGCTGAGCTGGGAGTCAGCCAAGGAGCTCCATCCCAGGACCCGAGGATCACGACCTGGGCCAAAGGCAGACACTTAACCAACTGAGCCACCCAGGAGCCTCTACTTCATTCCTTTCAACAGTATGTTATTCAGTACTTCCTATTACTTTATAATGGGAATACTATTATGAATAGTACCCTAATATGAAGCTTCCTATTATGAAGTACTGAATCACATATGCAGACCACATCTTATTTATCCAATCGTCCACTAATGGACACTTAGATTGTTTCTAATTTTGTACTATTACAATGCTTTAAGGAACAACCTTAAGCAAACCTCTATGTTCACAATATAAAAACATGTGAACTTTATTCTCTAAAGTAAGGTTTCTCAACCTCAGCACTACAGGCATCTTGGATTGAATAATCCTCTGTTGTGGGAGTCTACCTTGTAGACTGTCCTAAAATGTAGGACATTTTAGCATCATCCTTGATCTCTACCCACTAGATGCCTCCACAGATGTGACAACCAAAAAGGTCTACAGGCATTACCAAAAGTCCCTTGAGAGGTAACAACGCCCTGGTTGAGAACATTGTTCTAAGGCATACATGAAAGTATATACATGTATATTTTCTACTTTACTGAATACTGCGCAACTGTTCTCCAAACAGCTTTATCAATTTATATTACCATCAGCATATAATACCTCTGATTTCCAAATATCCTTGCCAGAACTTGATAACATACCAATTAAAATATTTCCAGCAAAATCATTAACTTTCCAAAAGGAGACTGCCACTGCAACTCAAGAAAAAAGGTACATGTGTGCTACTTCCAAGAAATTATAAAAACCCTAACTGTAAATGGAGAAATTGACTTACATTATACCCTTCTCATGTTACTTTCCTTTTTTTTGCTAAGTAAATTTTTCTTGACATTGATTAGTATTAGTATACTGAATTAACTCTAACTTCATAAAACTTATTTTTTCTAGAAGCTTCAAAACTATGATCTTTGGTCCACATTTCATAAAACTTTCAATATCCTAAGGAGTTTCAAATAGCATACTTTAGAGTATTTTGTTTCAACTGATGTCCCCACCTGTAGAAGGTTCCTCCTCTAACACTTATAAATTGGTCACATCTACATATAAAAGTAGGCTAAAGATATGCAACTGGACTTCCATGATGGAAATATCTTCTACTAAACTTCCTATATATAAAGGAATCTACTCAGCAAACTAATTTTAAAACTGGTAATCAGACTGAATCAAGATAGTGGACTCAACTCACACTGTAGCCTCCCTATCTCATACCAAATCTACAGAAATTAGATCTCAAATACATGGTCCCTGATTTCCAACTTCCTGTAAAGATCAATTGCAATTCCCGCTCATCAGTTCTATGAAATGCTTTTGTTGTTTTTTGATATAAATTCTACTTTGGGCTAAGCAGTCTTGTACGAATTTCTGTTACTGGCACCACAAGAACCTTGTCTAAGACAGTGGCACAATGAAATGTTGACTCTACTGACAATGATTCCAGTGCTGACCAGACTAAAAAACCAGAAGGTAGACCAGAAACTAAGAGGAATACCAGAAATACAGAAAACAAAATCTTAACTGAAGTACAAACAACAACAAAAAAACTACCACATTTGCTGCAAAATACAGGCGTTTCCCTGAGAATCCCAAATACAAAAAAGCTATGTTATTTGAAGCTAGAGGAAGTCTGAAGGCTATCAGCAGCACAAAGAGTAAGAGTATCAGGCAGGCTACCTCCACACCTCTCCCCCCAATGTCTTAAGGTGAAGCAGCCAGTAAGAGAGGTACCTGTGTTTCTCCCCACTAACCTCCTGCCCCTAAATAGGAGTATGAACCCCTGGTAAAAAACAGTTTGTAGAAGACTCGTACCCTGCCTAAAGAAAATGTACCTCAACATTCTATTACCCCAGGTTTCTGAGGAAATGTGTAAAAATGATCAATAAATGCTTTAGGAAGATGAATCCTGTATCAGTAAGAAGAATGAACTAAGGGATGCCTGGGTGGCTCAGTCGGTTGGGTGTCTTTTGTTTCTGGCTTGGGATATGATCTCAGGGTCATGGGATCTGCCCTCTTGATGGGCTCTGCACTCAGCAGGGAGTCTGCTTAGATTCACTCTCCCTCTGCTCTTTCCCTCTGGCACTCCTGCAAGCTCGCTCACGTGCTCTCTCTCCAATAATTAAATAAATCTTTAAAAAGAAGAAGGAAGAAGGAGGAGGAGGAGAAGACGAAGAAGACGATAACAAAGACGACGAAGACGAAGAAGAATGAACTAAAAAGAGGGAAGAATACAGATAGGAAAGCCAGTCAGGAAACAGTACAGGCATGTAAGGACTTGAAATTCAGGGACTCTAAACAGAAAACACAGATTCACCTAGGCGTATTGATAGGAATGGAAAGAACCTATTGAATTACCTCATGTTAGAAGAGAGGAAAAGATAAAGACTGCTTCATTTATTTTAGGAAAATGCTCATAAGTTTTGCTTATTACAGTATCTGTAGCACGTAGATACCTGTAAGTTACGTCAATAAATTAATCTGAAGATAAAGAAGTCAAAAGTAACCCTTAAGACTTGGGAGGCTGAGAAGGTGGTATGAGGCAAATAAAGAGCAAAGTGTGGAGAGAACACTTGATTTCTTTTTAAAGATTTCTTTATTTGAGAAAAAGCATGAGAATGTGTGTGAGCAAGGCAGACAGACAGAGGGAAGGGGAGGGGGAGAGAGTCCCAAGGAGACTCTGCACTAAGCACAGAGTCCAAGGCAGGGCAAGATCTCACGACTCTGAGATCACAACCTGAGCTGAAACCAAGGGTCTATCACTCAACTTAGTGAGCCATGCAGGCACCCCAAGAACACTTGATTTTAAAAGACTGTGATTATTTCAAGTTTTAGAAATGCTGAGTTTGTTTCTAGGATGGTTATTTTTGTAAAAAATATATATATTATTTTTTATACCAAACATATTTATAAGTTTTTAGCTTTGTTTAAGGAGGTATTCGATATGTGTAGAGAATAAATATATCTATAAATAACTATGATCAACTCATCTCTTTCCTAAAAAGTATAATATGAACATTATTAAGTTCCTGGTGTCTTCATCCCCAATTCTAACCTGCCCCACATCCCATATAGGAAATTACTATCCTAATTGTTTTCTTGATCATACTTTCACTTTTCCTTAACATTTTACCCTGTTTTTTGTATAAATAAATACTATGTTTAGTTTTTAACTTGTTTTGAAGTTCCCCCATTAAAATAAGAATCATACTACAAGGCATAGCTTATTTTATTGTGCTTCACTTTATTGCACTTCACAGATACTGCCTTTTTTTTTTTTAAACAAAATGAAGGTTTGTACCAACCCTGTGTCAAGCAAGTTTATCAACTCCATTTTCCCAACAGCTGCTCACCTTGTGTTTGTCTCACACTTTAGTAATTCTTGCAATTGAACTTGTTTTGAAGTTCATCTCCCCCTCCAATTCCCCCACTTCACTTTTCTTTTCCTTCTCCTAATGTCCTCCATGTTATCCCTTATGTCCCCTATGGTAAGTGAAACCATATATTTGACTTTCTCTACTTGACTTATTTTACTCAGCATAATCTCCTCCAGTCCCATACATGTTGATGCAAAAGTTGGGTATTCATCCTTTCTGATGGCTGAGTAATATTCCATTGCGTTTATGGACTACATACTCTTTATCCATTCATCTGTTGAAGGGCATCTGGGCTTTTCCAGAGTTTGGCTATTGTGGACATTGCTGCTATGAACATTGGAGTACATGTGGCCTTTCTTTTCACTACATCCGTATCTTTGGGGTAAATACCCAGCAGTGCAATTGACAGGTCATAGGGTAGCTCTATTTTTAATTTTTTGAGGAATCTCCACTATTTTCCAAAGTGGCTGCACCAACTTGCGTTGCCACCAACAGTATAAACTTTTACTATATGCACTGAGAAACCAAAAATATTCATCTGACTTGTTTTCTTGCAATATTTACTTATTAAAGAGATCAGGAACCAAATAAGCAATATTTCCAAGGTAAGCCTGGATATGTGTTTTTTCAGAGAAGACACACTAGTTTTCACTAAATATTGTATGTTTCTATGATAATCAGTGTGAGTATATGTGGTTATAGGTCATTCATTTGCACTACTCTATAACACTTCAATATATGACTGTATGAACATGTTAATGTACACACAACTTCATCCTTTCTCCTACTGCTGTATATTTGAGTATTTCTAAGTTTACACTACTACAAATAATGCATCTAATAAATCATTCTTGAGCACGTACCCTGGTGCACACATACAAGAACATGACTTACAAACTAGAAGGGAAATTGTGTGACAGGTTACATATATGTTCGATCTTACAGATAATACTAAATTA